AATTTATAATGTATTAGTATTATATTTATGTTACGTGTAGTTTTCAACATCTGTGCAAGAAGAAATTAAACAATTACGCTTACAGTTTTTTACAATTTAAGATTTATAGAATATTGAATAAACATCGAGGTGAAATAGTCTATAAATGTATAAATGTATAAATGTATCGATCCAGTAATGTTTATTATATTTAATTTCCAGCCATGGTGCGTATGAACGTTCTCAGTGATGCTCTGAAGTTCTATCAACAATGCTGAAAAGCGTGGAAAGCGACAGGTATTGTTGAGACCCTGTTCTAAAGTGATTGTCAAGTTCCTGACGGTTATGATGAAGCATGGTGAGTGAAACCAATATTCGCATTACATTTAACATCACTTTTTATACATATATTTGTGTACAATGCATTATTATGTATCTTAAAATTTTTAAAAAACAATTGAAAAAAATTATATTTTTTTAATTTAATATTTCATTGATTGCATTCAGTGAAATAAGTGATCAGTAGTGATCAGTTATCATTGATTTCTATTGTTTGATTTCTATTGTTCTATTGTTAAATTTCTAAATTTTGGCATTTATGTTGATAAATGAAGCTCAACTGTTGTGTACTTGTTGTGTGTACCGAATGTGACTGTTGGCAATATGTATTTTTCATCTACAACTATCTTTGAGTAGCAATGCTTTTCTATTGTTTGTATATTTTGCATTAGATTTTATAAATATCTAATAAAATCCTAATATATTTATGAAACTTTTAATAATAAGTTCTTAACATTACAGAAATGTGATTGTATTTAATTATTTTTTATATTAAAATTAACACAAAATGTTTACAAAATTTTTTTATTAGAGAATGAAAAAAAATCAGCAATTCCTTAGAAGACCCATATTATTGGCAGAAGATTAAATAACAGTTTAAATACATGTGTTTGTATATAGGTTATATTGGAGAGTTTGAAATTGTGGATGATCATCGCAGTGGAAAAGTAGTAGTAAACCTTACTGGAAGGTTAAACAAATGCGGTGTTATTTCACCTAGATTTGATGTACCTATTAATGACATTGAGAAATGGACCAACAATCTCTTACCTTCTCGACAGTTTGGGTAAGTGTTTATACATGTACGATATATTTTGAAAAAATTTTTATACACACATACCCGTGCACGCTCATGTATGTATATGTGTATATATTTGCTTCGCAAATAATTTTTTTATTTATTATTTTTGATAACTAGAATGTAATAGTATTATAAGTTATATAAATAACAAAATTTAATAAAATATTTTGTTTAAATCAGAGAAAGTTATAAGATCATACATTGATGATTTTTTTATTTGCATATGATATGTTTTTTAATGTCTAAACTTGTATAAATTTCAGAAAATAAGATTGTGTATTGTGTTTTTTTTATGTTTCAGGTATGTTGTGTTAACAACCAGTGGAGGTATTATGGATCATGAAGAAGCTAGAAGAAAACATCTTGGAGGAAAAATCCTAGGATTTTTCTTCTAACTTTTTTTTAAGTTAAATAATTAAAGATATAAAAACATAAACACATCTTTACATAATTTTTTGTTCAAAATCCTGAATCTTTTTTCCATCTAGATTCTTGATTCCGTAATATTTTATTCATTTAGTTTGTTACATTATTATTAATTGTACTTGAAAGGCTGAATTGCTCAATCAATTGAATCATAAACATTGTCAATAATGTTCTACTAAGAATTTCCTCGGTTCTCTTTTAATTTCGATATCCCAGGTAGATCACTTTGTTTCGCTTGTTTTATTATATCCCTAAAGAATTGCAATTACATAAATACATGTTAACTGTATAAGAGAACATTTAAATGTTATTTATATACTGAGAGGAGAAAGGAGGAAGAGATTTGATGAGACCGTCACGAATTAAAATGCGTCTGTCTAGGAGTTGTATTAAATATTCATAAGGATCGTGAGGTCGGCGCACTAGAAGCTCGCCAAGCAAGGAATCAACGATGGCCATAATTCCTTTTTGTTTCAAATACAATTTCACTTTTTGTTCTCGCATGTTTCCTGACATGTCGTGGGTAATATTAATTTCGGAATGTACGTCGCACATTTTTTGCTGTTCTGAAAGCGAATTTTAACATTTTTTCATCGCTTCGTCGTTTGAATAAATTTTTAATTAAATAGGGATATAGACGAGACACGGCAATTTTCTTTTGTTTTTTTTCTTTTTAACCAATGAGATGAAAACTAACACTCTCAAATATCATTTTTATGAACGCTCTGACGAAAGCATTTACCATATGCACATCCACACACATAGATACATACATATACATTATCATACATACATATACTCATACATATTTTCTGCATTATATGAACCCATTGAGTTCTATAGTATACTGGAGTGAGCCATCTCTATGCTAAACTATAAAAAATCGCGCTCCAGTGAAGAAAGGGCTGCGTTCAGCAGAGAAAGCAGATCAGTGAGCGTTCAGTGATTCTTTATTATGATTGGTTTCTACACTTCATTCAACGAAGATTTAAAGGCAAGAACCAATCGTATTGAAAAATCACTGAGCGCTCACTGATCTGCTTTCTCTGCTGAACGCAGCCAAGGACGAGCATACTAAAGTTGGAATCTTTATCTCTTTTCTACAGTGTACTTATTGATTAACCTTATGATAGTAGAATAATATTAACCAATCCGGGAATCTCTTGACAAAGAGAGCGATTTCCAACTCGCATGTTATCTTTTTTTAGTAAGTGAGATATCTCCTTGAAGGCTCACTTCAGTATACTGTAGAGCTCAATGTGTGAATCTAAGGGCCGTACCACACACTTCTGCATAATGAATAAGAAAATGAACCAATCATAGTCCTCCATTTCTACCCTTACACTGGAATAAAAGATTCTGGTTAGTTAATTTTCTTATACGTTATGCGTTATACAAAAATATGTGCTGCGACTCTAACTTCTTAACTTTACATAAATGATAATTTACCAGCACTCAGATAGTACTTTTCTATTAATTTTTCCTATAAGCTTCCAATTCATATTCTGGAGGTCTTAAAATTTTTTCATATATTGAATAAATGGGTGAATATATTCTGTTTGAATATACACTTGATATTATTTATATCAAGTGAATAAGTGGCTTAGGTAGTAATAGAAAATTGTAATAGAAATTTTTCTTGTTTTTTTATATTATTTAATAGCTATATTTTGATATCTTCTTCTGGAAAAGAATTTTTTATTCAAAATAAAGAAAGCATAGAAATTAGACAAATATGAAATTATATGTTTAGTCGGTAAAACAGTCCAGCATTCTTTTAAGGGCCACAGCACACAAAAAACTTAAGCAGTAAAACTTAAAGCGGTGTCTAACAAT